GAGAAATCACCCCCCAGAGGGGATGGCCACGCCGCAATCCCTTCTCCTCCATTCTCCTCTCGGGATCTTGGGCACATATGCACACGCACCCGGCGTAAGTTTAAGCCACCGGGTCCGGAACTCAAACTGCGGCCGACTACGTGGGCGTCCAGCAAGCCATTACACTAACTGCTGGTCCCTCCTACATGGTTTTTTAAAAAATTTTTTAAAGATTTATTTAATTTTTAATTTATGCATTCATTTATTTTAATTTGACCAGAGAGACACACACAGAGAGAGGGAGAAAGTGAGAAAGCAAGCCACCAGGTCCAGAACTTGAACTGTGGTCAGCCATGTGGGAGTATTCCACGCCTTAACCACCATGCCACCTGCTGGTCCCCCTACATGGATTTTTTTTGTGGGGGAAGAGATTTTTGCTGTAGGGTGTGTGCGCTTGGCAGAAATACAGAGAGAGACAGGGAGACAGAAAGCAAGAAATCACCCCCCAGAAGGGATGGCCACGCTGCAATCCCTTTTCCTCCATTCTCCTCTCAGGATCTTGGGCACGCACGCATACACGCCCGGCATGAGTTTAAGCCACCGGGTCCAGGACTCGAACCATGGTCGACTACATGGGAGGCCAGCAACATAGCCATTATGCTAACTGCTGGTCCCTCCCCCCATGTGGACTCTTAAAAACATAATTACAGTGGTTAAAATTGAATTGCTGTATAAGTTAAGGATTTTATACTTGTTATTTCTAATTATCGTTTGAAGTTGTGTTGGTATATATCCGTCTCACAAGGGGGAAACTAGGACTCAGGGAGTGTAAATGAATTGTGAGGGCGAACACGTCCCAGCCAGTGAGGATAGAAATGGGTTCTGGACCTGCCCAGTCCGATGCTCTTCTTCCAATGTGCAGTGGCTGCGTTTCCACGTGAACTCTGGATACACGTGATCGGCGTCTGGAAAACGACCGAGTCCAGTTGTCTCAGAGTTATTTTCTCCTTAACGTAACTTTCAGCACGTTTCTTCTCGGCCTGCCCAGTGTTTATGAACTCATACATTACACGTATTTTCAGTTCACTTTCTACCTAGTCTCCCCTCAGCCTTCTCCTCAGGGGACATTCCCCGAGTTTCAGTCTCCAGTTTCTAGTTCCCTTCATACTTCAGCTGCAGGGGCTTCCTCTACTGTCATGGCTTTACCTTCCCTTAAAGGAAGAGGTCCTTTGAATGACTGAAATCTACATATCTATCCGTAACTGCTTCCTGTTTCCCAGCCTATCACTTAGCAGCTTGCAGAACTCTGACACGCCCAACTTTAATGTTGGAAATGGAACTTGTTGTCCTACTCCTCAGATCCAATTGCTGTCCTATTGTGTTACCAGCTATTACATTCTCTGTTCCCAAAATACAAAACACCGATCGTCTTTGGCCTAGGTCTCTCGACACTCAGTGAGTGCTTGGCTCTGCCGCGAGCCTTGCTTCATTAGGTAACTTGCTCTCATCCACGTCTTAGCTCATTGGTTAGAGTGAGTTCCTAAAGAATAATAACCACATATTATGAGAAATCTCTAGTTTACAGGGGAGGTCTGTATCAAAAGTTGATTTGTAGTTATTCCGAGTTCGCCGTGTTTGTTTCTTTAGACGAGTTACTATAGTTTCAGGTTGAGCTGAGCTAGTCCGCAGTAGGCGAGAGAAAGGAGCAGAGCTGTGGGCACGTAGGGCTGCTGGCAGCTCAGACACGTCCTGCCCACTGGAGAACTCCCGCATGCTGCGGCTCAGCCAGACCGACAGCTGGCATAGTTTTCACGCCGTAAAGGGAACTGCTTATTTTCATTCACAGTGAGTGAGTACTTTAATCATTCTCAAAATGCCATGGCATAGGAACCAGCCCTATGGCCGAGTGGTTGAAGGAGCTGGATCTCACGCACCTCACTGTGTAGTTCAAGTCCTGACCCCAGCAGCTTAAAAAAATGTGCTGGGGGACCAGCAGTTGGTGTAATGGCTGTTGTTGGACTCCCATGTAGTCGACTGCCGTTCGAGTCCCAGCCCTGGTGGCAGGTGTGCATGTGTGCCCAAGATCCTGAGAGGAGAAAGGAGGAGAAGGGGTTGTAGCATGGATAGCCCCCCGGGGGGTGATTTCTCACTTTCTGTCTCTTTGTCTCTCTCTCTCTGTCTTTCTGGCGAGCGCATGCGCCCTGTGGCAAAAACTTCTCCAAAAAAACGTGCTGGGTGGAGAAATGGAAGGGAGTGGACTGTGGCATGGTCGTGCTCTATCGGGAGGTCTTCTCTGTCTCTCCGTCTCTGTAGCGAGCGCACGCACCGTTTAACAAATCAGGGGAAAGTGTTTGGCACAGCTTCTCCAAAAAAACGTGCTGGGTGGAGAAATGGAAGGGAGTGGACTGTGGCATGGTCGTGCTCTATCGGAGGTCTTCTCTGTCTCTCCGTCTCTCTGTAGCGAGCGCACGCGCCGTTTAACAAATCAGGGGAAAGTGCTTGGCACAGTACAAGCGGTGCTGTTCGCTTAGTTTTTCAGGGACACAGAAGCAGCCCCTCCATTACCATAAAGACATCCTCAGAAGTAATGGATTTGTGTTTGAGAAACCTTTCAAATGCTCGTGCCATTCAGATTCCCGTGTCGGAAAGCAGTTGTTTCTCATATGGAAGCACGCCTAGGAGTGACAATTCTCTTCCTCTCAACAGACAGAAATACAGGTGGTGACAGGAGTCAGGAAAAGTGTGTGACTTGAGGGATTTTCTGCCATTCTGTTTGTACTTTGTTAAAGTTATCAGTTAGTGTTAATAATTCAGTAAAGTAAATGAAGACGTGATTCTTGCAACTTCTTTAATCCTTTCAGAATATGGCTTTTCAGGCTGAACAAAAAATAAAAGCAGATATTTTACGAAGCTTGAGTACTGAACAGCTATTCCGGTTATTATCAGATTCAGATTTGAATGTGCTGATGAAGACACTGGGACTTCTTAGAAACCTCCTCTCTACTCGGCCTGTAAGTAAACTCACCCAGGCTTCCAGACTGGCCAGCCCTGCCTGCCCAGGAAAATGTTGCTATTCCTCTCTACCCGACACCATCTGCCAGCAAGTGTGACTCAGACGTTGCCCCTTTCCAGGGAAGCGAGGGGTTGAGGGCTAAACCTGTCCCCTTCGGAGGTGTCGGGAGCTGCCAGGGCCCTGTGCCTTCCCCTCCTGCGCCCCGTCCGTCTCTCCTCGCGTACGCTGGACCTGTGCCTGCCCTGATTTGTCATCGTGCCTTACTCCTTCCTGGTTTGCTGACCACACGGGTGCTCTTGCCTGCCGAAACCCCCTACCTTCGGGGCCTCTGTTTTTTTCCCGGTTGAGTTCCCGTTGAGTTCTCCTCCATGCCATTCCAGAGGTCTCCCCCAGCCCACATTCACAGGCTTGACCTCTCCAGGTGTAAGTGCGCAGAACAGGGGGTGCAGGTCAGAGTAAGAGGCTGGCCTTGCGCGTGGAGTTGTTCTCTCACGTCCCATTGGCAACAGTGTCGGTGGCCTTCAGGTAGAAGAGGCATGGGTGGGCCCCTTCTCTGCTCCATTGTCTTTTGGATGGTCTTAACCCGCTGTGTCCCGAGATAGCATTTGAAAATCGACACTCCTCTCTCCAAGTCTCTGGATTCTTTCCTCCCCGTGCATTTTCTTGTGCTGCTTTTTTCTATAATATCTTTGGGTTGAAGAACCCCCCCCCAATAATTATAATCTATGTTCTGTCAGTCCAGCTCTATGCTTTCTTTACATTTAAGTGATTTATTTTAAAAAAGGATTTGGAGGCAAAATGCTGCTTTAAAATATAATCGACACTGTTCTTTGGCATCTCATTCTGCATGCTCTGGTATGCTGCTTCAAGCCGTTACGATTCACGTTACTTACTTTCAGAAGCCCTGCTCCTCCTCGGGTCTCTCTCTGTTTGACGTATAGTAATTGTGGGTTTCCCATTGTTCTGCAGCATATAGATAAAATAATGAGCACTCATGGAAAGCAGATTATGCAAGCCGTCACCCTCATTCTGGAAGGGGAGCATAACATTGAAGTCAAAGAACAGGTATGTGTTTGTTGTTCGTGGGGAACATTTTCTAAATGCGAGCACAAAGAAAGCTCCTCACTAGGAGTCTTCCGAAGCAGAAAGATCTGCAGGGAACAGAGTGCTGAAATGGAAGCGCTCTAGAGACAAGAGGAAAGGTCCCCACCACCCTAAGCTCTCTTCTGCTGTTCTTCCCGGGTAGCCCAGCTGCAGTGGCACAGCTGGTAGGGCGCCGTGTGCAGTCCTGGAGCACTCGGCAGTCCAGGTTCAGGGTACGGGTCAGCCTGGGCACAGCAGGTCTGTGCGCCTGTCTCCAGGCTGGCTGGAAGGCCACGGGGAGGACCGCGGTGTGCAGTGGCCCCGTCAAGCGTAGCTGTCTGTCCCTGTCTTTGTCTCTTGCAAAATGAATAAATAACTTTTAAAAATACATATTCTTCTTGGAGTAGAGGAGGACAGGGCCGCAGTCTGTGGTCATGCTCTCTGTGTCAACCCTGTACACACTGTCCACGTCTCTACAGAGCAGCCACATTGAACCAGCCAAGGGCGTTGCCTTCTCTAGGGCTGTCTTGCCCTCTACCACCATATCACCGCCTCCTCTGGGTCTGATTTCTCACTTTCCTTCTCTCTCTATGGCAAGCACACACATCCTATAGCAAATCTCTCTCTCTCTCTCTCAAAAAAAAGATGGATTTCTCTTGATGAATAAAAACGTAACACAGCAGAAGTATAATCTCAGGCCAGCAGGTGGCATGGCAGTTGAGGCACTGGACTCCCGCCCGGTTAACCACGGTTTAAGTCCTGGACCTAGCAGCTTGCATCCTCACTTTCCCTTTGTCTCTCTCTGTCTCTCTCTAGTCAAATTGAAAAATGATAATTACAAATAAAATTAAATAAATATTTTAAAAAGCATATTTCATAAACACCACTGAAATTAGTTGAAATGAGGTGAAGTGAGATTCATTACTGCAACATGAGGGGGAAATGTGGTGGCCAGAAGAGCCTGTCCTGCCTGGAGAGCATTCAGACAGATGGACCGGGCTGGGCAGTCCACTCACCTGGGAGACCTGCCCTGAACTGCAGAGCACAGCCAAGGCAGGAAGGCGTTATCAGTTAGTGTTAATAATTCAGTAAAGTAAATGAAGACGTGATTCTTGCAACTTCTTTAATCCTTTCAGAATATGGCTTTTCAGGCTGAACAAAAAATAAAAGCAGATATTTTACGAAGCTTGAGTACTGAACAGCTATTCCGGTTATTATCAGATTCAGATTTGAATGTGCTGATGAAGACACTGGGACTTCTTAGAAACCTCCTCTCTACTCGGCCTGTAAGTAAACTCACCCAGGCTTCCAGACTGGCCAGCCCTGCCTGCCCAGGAAAATGTTGCTATTCCTCTCTACCCGACACCATCTGCCAGCAAGTGTGACTCAGACGTTGCCCCTTTCCAGGGAAGCGAGGGGTTGAGGGCTAAACCTGTCCCCTTCGGAGGTGTCGGGAGCTGCCAGGGCCCTGTGCCTTCCCCTCCTGCGCCCCGTCCGTCTCTCCTCGCGTACGCTGGACCTGTGCCTGCCCTGATTTGTCATCGTGCCTTACTCCTTCCTGGTTTGCTGACCACACGGGTGCTCTTGCCTGCCGAAACCCCCTACCTTCGGGGCCTCTGTTTTTTTCCCGGTTGAGTTCCCGTTGAGTTCTCCTCCATGCCATTCCAGAGGTCTCCCCCAGCCCACATTCACAGGCTTGACCTCTCCAGGTGTAAGTGCGCAGAACAGGGGGTGCAGGTCAGAGTAAGAGGCTGGCCTTGCGCGTGGAGTTGTTCTCTCACGTCCCATGGGCAACAGTGTCGGTGGCCTTCAGGTAGAAGAGGCATGGGTGGGCCCCTTCTCTGCTCCATTGTCTTTTGGATGGTCTTAACCCGCTGTGTCCCGAGATAGCATTTGAAAATCGACACTCCTCTCTCCAAGTCTCTGGATTCTTTCCTCCCCGTGCATTTTCTTGTGCTGCTTTTTTCTATAATATCTTTGGGTTGAAGAACCCCCCCCCAATAATTATAATCTATGTTCTGTCAGTCCAGCTCTATGCTTTCTTTACATTTAAGTGATTTATTTTAAAAAAGGATTTGGAGGCAAAATGCTGCTTTAAAATATAATCGACACTGTTCTTTGGCATCTCATTCTGCATGCTCTGGTATGCTGCTTCAAGCCGTTACGATTCACGTTACTTACTTTCAGAAGCCCTGCTCCTCCTCGGGTCTCTCTCTGTTTGACGTATAGTAATTGTGGGTTTCCCATTGTTCTGCAGCATATAGATAAAATAATGAGCACTCATGGAAAGCAGATTATGCAAGCCGTCACCCTCATTCTGGAAGGGGAGCATAACATTGAAGTCAAAGAACAGGTATGTGTTTGTTGTTCGTGGGGAACATTTTCTAAATGCGAGCACAAAGAAAGCTCCTCACTAGGAGTCTTCCGAAGCAGAAAGATCTGCAGGGAACAGAGTGCTGAAATGGAAGCGCTCTAGAGACAAGAGGAAAGGTCCCCACCACCCTAAGCTCTCTTCTGCTGTTCTTCCCGGGTAGCCCAGCTGCAGTGGCACAGCTGGTAGGGCGCCGTGTGCAGTCCTGGAGCACTCGGCAGTCCAGGTTCAGGGTACGGGTCAGCCTGGGCACAGCAGGTCTGTGCGCCTGTCTCCAGGCTGGCTGGAAGGCCACGGGGAGGACCGCGGTGTGCAGTGGCCCCGTCAAGCGCAGCTGTCTGTCCCTGTCTTTGTCTCTTGCAAAATGAATAAATAACTTTTAAAAATACATATTCTTCTTGGAGTAGAGGAGGACAGGGCCGCAGTCTGTGGTCATGCTCTCTGTGTCAACCCTGTACACACTGTCCACGTCTCTACAGAGCAGCCACATTGAACCAGCCAAGGGCGTTGCCTTCTCTAGGGCTGTCTTGCCCTCTACCACCATATAGGGACTGTGGCATAGCCATCCCTCCTGGGATGGCAAGCACACACATCCTATAGCAAATCTCTCTCTCTCTCTCAAAAAAAAGATGGATTTCTCTTGATGAATAAAAACGTAACACAGCAGAAGTATAATCTCAGGCCAGCAGGTGGCATGGCAGTTGAGGCACTGGACTCCCGCCCGGTTAACCACGGTTTAAGTCCTGGACCTAGCAGCTTGCATCCTCACTTTCCCTTTGTCTCTCTCTGTCTCTCTCTAGTCAAATTGAAAAATGATAATTACAAATAAAATTAAATAAATATTTTAAAAAGCATATTTCATAAACACCACTGAAATTAGTTGAAATGAGGTGAAGTGAGATTCATTACTGCAACATGATGGGGAAATGTGGTGGCCAGAAGAGCCTGTCCTGCCTGGAGAGCATTCAGACAGATGGACCGGGCTGGGCAGTCCACTCACCTGGGAGACCTGCCCTGAACTGCAGAGCACAGCCAAGGCAGGAAGGCGAGGCAGGATTTGGGTGAAGGCAAGAGACCGGTAGGAATGTGTGCTGGAGGGTGCAGATGACACTATGCAGTCGGAGGTGGTGCAGTGTGAGCAAGTGTGGAGGGTTTTAGCTCACTCTCTGTCACTGACGATGCAATACCACCAACTGAGTGATGTATAAAAAACAGATGTTTATTTCACTCAGGGTTTGGAGGTCCAGTTCATGGGTGGCATTTGGTGAGGGTCTTCTTGTTGGTGGGGACTCTCTTCAGAGTCCCGAGGCAGCGCAGGGCATCGCCAGGTGACAGGACAAGAGCGAGCCTGTCGGTGACCTGCCTTGGTCCACCTCTCCTTGTAAACTCAGGTCTGCAGTCATGGGACCCCATCCTGATGACCTAACCTAATTCCAGTCACCTCCCAAAGGCTCCACCTTCAGTCTTATAGTTAGATGAAGTTTCTACCCTTACTTAGTACCATCACAACCAAATTTCAACACTTGAATTTGGGGATGATGCATTTACAGGGAGCTTAAACTGTGTGATTGTTAACTGGAAGCTTAGTGTTTCTCAGAGTTATGTGGTAAAGTTTTAAAGGGTTATTTATTTAATTTTATTTGTTATTATTAATGTTCAATTTGAGGACAGGGAGAGTGATAAAGCAAGCTGCCAGGTCCAAGACTCGAACCATGGCTGGCCATGTGGGAGTCCAGCACCTTAACCATCACGCCACCTGCTGGCTCGTCTGATCATTTTTTTTTATTGAGGTATAATTAACATAGTTGCATGGGTTAATACTCAGAGTATACAATGTGATAAGTTTTGGTATTTGTATACATCTATCAAACTATCAAAACAATCAAGGTAATATATGTATCTGTATAACCCTTAAATTGGGAACGTGTCAGATATGTCCGATCACTCCTGTTCAACATTTTATTATAATTCCTGCCAGTTACAATAAGGCCAATTAAATAGATAAGAGGCATACAGATTGTAAAGAAATAAAGTTATTCCCAGACATTATGAATATCTATATAGACAATGCCAAGGACACATAAAAAATGTGGAACTCAGGGGCCGGACAGTGGCACGGTAGTAAAATGTGGTGCTCTGTGAGGCTGACCCATGTGGGAGGGTTCTGGGTTCACAAGAGACCCATGGAGGGACCAGCAGTTAGCATAATGGCTATGTCGCTGTGCTCCCATGTAGTCGACCATGGTTCAAGTCCTGAACCCAGTGGCTTAAACTCACACCAGGTGCGTGTGCGTGCGTGCATGCCCAAGATCCTGAGAGGTGAATGGAGGAGAAGGGATTGTGGCGTGGCCATCCCCCCTGGGGGGTGATTTCTCACTTTCTGTCTCTCTGTCTCTCTGTCTCTCTGTCCCTCTGTCTTCCTGGCAAGTGCACATGCCCTATAGCAAAAACCTCTCAAAAAAAAAAAAAACAGACAACAACAAAATACGAGAGACCCATGGGTTCAGAGACCTCCCCAAGTACATGTGTGCCTGTGGTCCCAGATCTGTTGAGGTTGCTGTCTCTCTGTCTCTCTCACTCATGAAAGAAGTAAGTAAACCTAAAAAAAAAA